AACGGTAGAAAATAAATGTTTTGGACCCTTTAAAAACTGATCTGCAGCCCTGATACTGAGGCCTTCAGTGGGAAAATGGGGGATAACATTACCCAGAATGCTTTGGGCCAGAGGCAGGACAAGACTGGCATCAGATAAATTTAGAGGTACAACACTAAACACTTCTGACACTTATCTTCTGTAAATACATGTGTAATATAACCCCAACATGACTGACAAACTGGGCTGGCTGCAGGTTTATGTATAGTAAGATAAACACAATTGCACCTCAGTCACTGGCTGAGAAGGCTGAATTCAGTATGTTGGCAACAGAAAATGAATACATATATATATATGGACCAGAATGGCATGAGGAATATCCTTATCAGCAATATTATATCAAAGACATTTTTTATAAAAATAAATAAATAAAACATAGTAACAAGAATAATAAACTAATTTAACTTTGCAGTCAGCTCCACAACACACACAGGGCTGATTGTTATTGCTTATCTAGGCATCAGAAAACCATGAAAACGCACACCCAAGCTGACATTAACAAAAATAGCAGCAAAATCTTATATAAGAATCTGGAATTGTGATTTAAACTATTAGTTAAATATCAAAATATTTTCAGATAAATGTTCTGCCGATCGACTAACCGAATAATGCACTACAAGTTTCAACGTTTTCCTCACCACAAAGACATGGAGCCTAAATGCCCACATTGGGTCAGTGTAGATCATACCCAATAAACTGTGGTCTAAACACGCGGACGCTGCAAGCAGAATAATTAAATGCACTGTCGGTCAAGTTACACCCAATAATACTGATGATCACTTTGTTATTGCTGGTTGAGCAGGGCTCGGGGGTCCAGTCAGTGTGGAAGACGTCCCTCTGTTGGTGGATGAAGGGAGTGGTCTAACCGGAGGAGAAGTCCGTGTTTGGCTCTTCAGCACCTCTCCCTGAACGGGGCACAAGCGGCCAGAGACAATAACACATCACTCCGGACAATCAGTGATAAACACATCGGGCCAATACTCTGCACCCAAACAATAACAGCACAACCCGAAAGCTATCCCTGCGACACGTGGTCCGATTAGGAGTCGTAAACAACAGGCATGTTCTTCACATCATCATAGAGCTGTTACTGTAGTAAGGCATAAGCACTACACAGCCTGTCATGTTCCTCCCTCTTTTAGTACTCACTCATTCTGTTGCCTTATATAAACATTTAGTCAGTCACCTCCTTAGCTCGTCTCTTCTCTCATTCACCCATTAATCTAATTACACCCATCCATCATTTATGCATAAATTTATGATGTATAATACGGTTTCATATAAAGCCTCCTGTCTCTCTCCATACTCACCCCTTCACCAACTCATCCTCCCCCCCCCCCCCCCCCCTCAACTCCCCCCCACGGAAAAAA